GCACGATGAGTTTCAATGCCATTATTGCAGGAATGAGTAAGGCAAACATAAAACACAACAACATATACAACACACAACACCAGTGCGAGCCTCTGCGAAGCAGAGGTAAGGAACTGGTAATACATAGAACGTATGTGATGAAGATATCAGATTTTTTCGCAAAGTTTCAGATTTTCGGTGACCTAACTTAAAATGATCAAAGCCTAAATCGTCTTCTTTTTTCCTAATCTCTGCAATGAATGTATGGTAGGAGCTCAGCAAGAAATGCAAAGACGAAGACATTTTCTTCTATTAAAATCAAAAAAGATGCAAATCTAAATCAAAATAGCGAAAAGTTGCGAATTTTACGTTTGAAATACAGAACTTTTTGACAACCTAATATTAGGGTGTCTCATAATTTTTACTGTCTCTACTCTGAACATCAGCATTCCTTGAGAACTGGCACACCTACAAAGAGTTAAAGTACATGATCGTTCTTCTGTATGTATGAGCTATATGAGCTCGTACGTGGGAAGAACTCAGGACGTTTAAGGGCGGAGCTTGTCGTTTTAGCAATAATAAAAATGCCGTCGTTGGTACGATTTTGTCATTGAGTTGTGGTAGTTATAATGAGGTGTTTCACTAGTTTTTACCGTTTTTATCATAACCGCCGTCTTTTTGTATCTTTCATTCAATTGATGTGGCTTGAGTAATCATTGGAGGGCAAGGTAAACTCTACAGGTTAGCTATCAAGGGTTGCGCAAATCGTATTCTACTAAAAAATTCAAGCCGCTTCATTTTTTTTTCATTTCTAGCAGTGCAAAAAATACGGAAAGTGTACACTTGAATGTTCGATATGTCAAGCATATGATAGGATAAATGACGAATTTTTTAGGTTAGCAGAGATACAATTTTGACGGTAAGGTTTTTTTGATTGCTATCAGATTTTAGCTCGAAAATCCGCGTGGAATACGATTTGCGCAAATCTTGACAGCTAACATGTAGAGTTTGCCTTGCCCTTCAATGATTGATCAAGCCACATCAATTGAATGAAAGATACAAAAAGACGACGGTTATGATAATCACGGTAAAAAAATATGAAACACCTTATTATAACTACTTATTATACTACTCAATGACAAAATCGTACCAACGGTGGCATTTTTTTTATTGGTCGTAAATTTTTAGACGAAGGTGACATAAATAGAATGGGAGGAGCGAAATGGGTGCATTAAGACTGGACCTTAGCTTGTTCGTAACTAGCCCACCTTTGCCACCTCACGATTGCATCCTCTCTTTCATTCTCACTAGAGTTCACATCAGAACCGCCTAGTTCAAATTTTATTGTTAGATGCAGAAAAAGCCTTTTTTTAGGAAGCCTAATCTTTTAAGCAGCTACAATCAACTGATCTGAAAAGAGATGCCGGAACATAATCAATTTTAAAAAGGTGTTCTACAGCTTCTAAGATTAAAAAAGGCAAATTCAGAGAATCATGTTATTTCTATACATGGCTCCGCATCATTTAGAGGAACTTAGAAAATTTCCACCCCTTTTTTGGTCATGCAACAATATACAAAACAAATAAAGTAGCAAGAGAAGTTTAAAGGGTGGGACTTTATTATTACTTTTCTGAAATCTGTTTCTCAACATCTCCACTATCTTTTCAAACAAAGCAGGTTGAATATCTTTATTGAAGAGTACCACAAGGAATTTTCCAAACAGCATTACTAGCGAATGTTTATTTTCCGGAAGGCTTATCAAACCTAAAATATCCATCAGAAAAGGAAAATGTCGACAACGTGATGAAGAAGGGGCTAAGTTCATCTATCACCTAATGCTTTTGAATTAGCAAGAATAGCAGGTTGTTTTCCACTTGCATTATTACTATAGGAAATGACTTTCCTGATCATTTTTAGTAAACAATTGGCAATATTCAACTGACACAAAAGCTTATTTAGATGTTATCTATGGAGAGGTAAGAGTTCGATTCACTATATTAAACTTAATAGTTACTTAGAAATAATGTAAGTACCTTGGATTAGAGTGAAGAGTAGCACAAAAAAGCACACCTCCAGCAGTATTGAGGGAAAATCAAAGAGTAGTTTAGTAAACGAGTTGATTGATTGTCGATTATCAATTATATAATTATGTGATTCGATAGCATGCAGGGCCCGGCACGAGGTGGGCAGACGGGGTTTTCCAAAACGAATTCTCCTTTGACCCCAATAGTTCTTACGAATACCCCCTTGAGCCAAAAATGACGCTTTGTGCTTGTGGAACGAGAGCACCGGCCACACTTCGCCTAAAAGCGCTCAAAAGCGCCCAAAATGCTTAAATTTATCTGATTACTCCTCACCTGTATCAAGATAGAAAACAGGAAGAAGATTAAGCAAGGGAAATGATGAAGGAATGAAAAAATATCAAAGGAACGCAGTCATAGGACTGAGAGACGCCGTTCTCGCGCGTATCGATTGACTGGGGCGCGCTTTCCATCTTAGAAAGCTAGGCTGCTGATGCGATTTTGGGCTCTAACAAAGACAAGAGGAGGAGTTTTGGAACCAAAATCTCACCATATAGTAAAGTTTATGTGAACAACAGAATTATGTAAAAATTTTGAAAAAATTATGTGAATTAAAAGTTTTGCCCACCTCAGGTGGGCATTAAGTGGGCAATTGCCCACCTAATTTGGAAAAAAGTTAAGCACGCTCTTCATTCACATAAGTTTTTCATAATTTTTCATACATTGCTCCTCAGTCCTACTGCGCGTATACACACCAAGTCTCGCGCGATTTCGTTTTCTCTGCGCTGCAAACGAGCCATTTTTCCATTTTTATAATAGTGGGAAATTTTCAGAAAAAAGCTTGCCACAACCTTCATTCACATAATTTTTCGATGAAACTTCTAAGATAAGCCCTGCAGGCAGGTGTTCATGTACTCACCAAATTTCATACCGTATGGTCATCTGTGCGCTGCAAACGAGCCATTTGAATTCACATCTTCATTTACCAGTTTTGCAAAATTTCTGGAAAAAATGCTTATTACACCTCCCACCCACATAAGTTTCTCATAACATCTCATGCTTTGTTTCTACTAGCCTCTCTTTGTTCGCTTATGTAATTTGGTGCTATATCATTACACCTGAACTGAGAACTAATCATGTAATCATGCTGTTTAACGGCATCGCTCATGCGTCGCGCACGCGGCAATTAGCGGCAACGCGGCGTAGTGCGCGCGAAGTCTGCTGTGCGTTGAGGTTTATGAAAACTATTTTCCGATGAATTAGATGTATAAGGTAAGCACGATTCGACCTTCTCTTGCTTGCACTTGGAATCTTCTTCCGGGGCTTCCGCCCCGGATCCCGCCAAAACGTATCCCCTTTGCTTTTTGGCCCCAAAACGATTTCCAGCTTGTCATTTGCCCAACTCGTGCCGGGCCCTGATAGCATGACATTGCTGCGCAACCAGGGATAACCAGAGAACAATTACTTTAAGATTCCTCTGAGACTAAGATTTTGTGGGCTTTGTGATGCACAAGCGAAGGAGATATGGAAACAAGGAAGTAACAGACGGGTAAGGCAGAAAAACCAAATTTTATTGATCATACCGGGTAGGTCCCCAAGTCTTGTACCAACAAGGTGAGAAATCGTTTCAAAAATGCTCGAAATTCTAATTAGTAGTGTATATTAGGTTGATTCATGATTAATGCACGTTTTTCTCACCTTTTCTTCCAGGAGCTGTTATTTGTGGTGTAATCAATTTCCTCAAAAACTTTTCACGCTATCTAAAAGAGCGTTCCTTCTAGTTTCTTAAGCGCCCCTTCGCTTTCGCAAATCTCCGTTCATTCCAAAGTTCCGAGCCTTCAAACAAAAGAGACGAAATCCCAAAATTTTTGCTTTTCACTCTTTCTGCCCTAAATCCGTTAGGAATAGCCAAATTGATTTCAAAAAATATGTATAAGGATTGGAGAATTTTGTGCTACAGGATGCTATTTGAACAAAATTCTCCATGGATTCTGAGCCGAGAAATTCAATTACGAACTTTAATAACCGTCGCGGCCATTCCGTGCCAAATAAATCTTTGAGGCAAAAGGCGATTGTAGGTCTTTTGCACTATCCAGTAAGGGTAGACCTAGTTCATTTGATGGTAGAAAAGCGCTAGGGTTTTCTCACTTTCCAGCGGAGAAAAACGAAATAAATTCAAAAACGACCGATTTCTGAACCCGCCGAGATGCCAGAAAAAAGTGAGTGCTTTCGACTTTTTCGCGACATTTTCTTTCAAAGATTTCCGTTAAATCCAAACTTGGCATTACTGCTCAAGAGACCCTTGGCTACACGATGAGTGAAGTCTGCTTTATGCTTCTTCATTTCAACATAAGTTACGCTCTTTCAAAATAGAGGCTTCTGAAAAAAGTTGTTGGCAATCTTCAGGCCAGAAAATCTTTCTTGTAATAGATACAGTCACGCAAAAGTATCTATTTTATAGACACTGATTTGATGGTTACAGTAGTTTTTATTGCGATTAGATATGTCTTTTCGGGGAAGAATTATCTCGGTTGGAAGTTGAAGTATAGAAAACGTGCATTAATTATGAATCAACCTGATATTTTCGTCCAGAAATAACAAGACAGCATTTCCTGTTTTACTATGCATATCAGAAAATTCACTCGGCGGAATGAACTATCGAGTAAAAAAACAAATTGCATTAATCATCCTTGCTGTGGGCAAATCCGATCAGCAACAACGTTTCTTGGGCATTTCAGCATTTTGGAAAAGTCAAAAATTGAAAAAGGCCGATTCGCTCTTTATGTATCACCATGTATCAACGTTGATTTTGTTGTAACAAATGATAGAAGGCAGGGCCCGGCACGAGCTTGTCAAAAGGGGTTTTCGAAAACGAATTCCCCTTTGACCCGAAATTTTTTTACGAATTCCCCTTTGACCCAAAAACTGATCCCAATGATTGCGCAGTGAACACTTTACGAAGAGAACAACTTTTATTGAACTGAGACTAACAGAGAGACTAGATGATATTGCAGACGAAAATGCAACAAAATAAGGAAGCTACTAGGATGACAATAAAAGTGTGCACCAGCTTGCCAACTTGATGAAGTTACGTAAGGTAGGAGAATATTGTGAAAAACCTAGAATAGTTATAAAATCGTGACTGTGATAGCTATATAGTACTCAATTCATTTCAAGCATAACCTCATCAGCGTTGTCATCTTGTTCAGAAATCTCATTTTTTTCGAAAGAACTGGAGTGGCTAAGCGTATAGAAAGAGCTCCGATAGGTGCAGTGATGAGGATGCTCAATATAGCCTGGTCAAAATTAGGATACCATTTTCTATTTGAGATGAAGTTGATGTCGCTCTAGATCTAGCTGTTTCCAAAATAACAGGGGCCAGCGCTGCCTAAAACAGACAACATTGCAGATAAATTCATAATACGATCAGGTGATTTGAGCAGATTTAGGTACCTGCATTGTTCGCTTTTAACATCCACGCGATAGCGACAAAAAAACGTTCTTTCATTGTGAGCGTCGAACCGAACCGCAAAAAACGAAGCAGTAAATCGAAAAACGAGACCAAATGCTAACACCAAGACTCCAGGTAACATGGTACTCAAGCTGATCTAAACATGATTTTAAAGCTACGAAACGGAAAACGTTGAGCACACCATACCGAAACTAAGATGCTCCAAGCCGATAAGACCAAACAGAAGAGGTGAAAAACATGATACCACATAAGGGCTAGTAAATCTTCCTCTGGAAGTTCACCATGCCAATAATCAGTACAATAATTTGACCATTTATAAGGAAAAAGCGTTCAAAAATCAAAGATGGCGTATTGCTCCTGAGACATGACAGCAACTAACCTCTTTCTTAAAAGCATGGCCGGCAACAAACGCAGCAATGAGGAGTGTAATAGCACCCGCCCCACCAAGTCGAATTCTTGCTTTCCAAATAAAAATACCAGAGAAAAAGAGAATAAAAGAGAAAGACGAGCGAAGTGGAGATTCTCCACTGTTTTTCGAGGCACTATGTGGAAAAATAACCCTATAACGGCACTTAATCCCGCTTCAAAAGGATTAAAGTAAGGGTACTTACCAACCATAGCTCCGCAGAAAACCCCAGCAAAAACTTCTGCGGGTGCGCATAAGATAGTCGATAGCGGCGAGTCGCCTGAAACGCTTGGAAGTAGTGATAATAGATTGCTTTGGCTTCCATGCAAGAAAGTTACAATTTAAACACAATTTCATTGGCCCTAATTCCCGACGGTTCGATATTTGGTCGAAATTAATCATACAGCACCAGAGCTGTTGGGAAATTGAGTGATAGTTAAGACTGAACATAGTGATGGCATATACGTAATCCAGACTAGCAGCAGCAATCACAACAGAAGGTACTCCAGCTCGAACTCCGTAACCTATACATTTCTATAAGAACAGGAGAAGAAGGTTAGAATATAACATACCTGCCTTGCCGGCATCCAAAAGAGCAGGGATAACTACAGCAGGTGACACAGCTCCCAAACAGCGCTGCAATCAGAGTAAAGATTTCTTGTGATAGAGGAAACACACGACTTCGATAGAACTAACATAACAAAAAAATATGGCGAACGAATAAAAAACCTAAATTCTACGTATTTTCACGACAAAAGTAGTCGCCGAAAACACTACAGATGGGGCATTCCAAAGATTTTACGATTAAGGTGTGTTCTAGCAGGGTGTGAGCAAGAACCGCTCCACTTCAGTGAGGGACTTACCCTAAAGCTACACCGAAGAGTATGTCCATCCCAAAAACCATCTTTGCAATAAATGAAACTGTACGGTTCATCGCAAACATGCACCCTAAAAAACAAGCTACTTTCGAGTAAAGCTGGACCAGTCAAGCTGGACCCACCTTGCTGTGAACAGTACTGCTCCACTTTGTAAAACTCAGAATTTTTTTTCAGTTTCTAGTCTAGCATAGAGGTTATCCTAAATGAGCCGATTTTCATTTATAATAGATTGAGTAGGTTTTTTTTGTGTTAGAAAAGCTAGTTAAGAAAAGGGTCAAGCACAGCAACTGCTGAGACATTATCATAAAGGACTCTGAGCAACACACCAGACACACAACGGTGCAAAACTTCAGCCAGTCCGAAAGTTGGCTCCCTTTTCTCGTCCCTATGTATATCTAACTCAAAAGATCATGTCATGCAGATTGATTCGAACTGTGACGAGGAAGTCTAAACTAACAGCAAATTTAGATAAAAATTTTCTTAAAATTCTGGGTTATACAAGGGAACAGCCTAGTGTACAAGTACACGAAAATATTACCTTAAGCCTGCGAACGGCGTTAGCATCAAGTGATAAACCGTCACGAAGGAGAATCACTGTGCAAGCAATCCGACGTGAAACCATGCTCCATTCGTTTATTACGTACACGTTAATGAGGGACTCACAGAAGTTCCTGAGAATGATGCGTGTGAGCAGCATGGCTAAAGGAATCCAAATAAAGAAGCAAAGGATGGGGTTCAAAAAGCGTACCTAATAAGCTAGGAAGATCTAAAAGTTGTGCTACATAACCCGTCACAACACCTGTAGCGATGATAAGCTTCAGTGTATAGATAGTGCTTGCATAATCTTTTGGTGTAAGCATATAAGTTTCTTCGAAAGAGACGTCATAATTCCGTTCATGAATAGGTGCTAGGACAACATTACATGCTGTGGCGGCAAATCCAAGAAAAATGAGGTATGACAGAAATCTGACAGAAAAATGATTTCATCGTTGAATATTAAGATATTCGAACACTCGTGATCTTTCACTCCTACGCATAATCTCAATTGAAATTGTAACCAAACGAGGTTCAGCTGCACATAATACAGTCGAAAGAAAGCCTCGAAGTTTACAACCTCTAAAAAAAGTCTGCTCGATGAACGATAGCTCTTACCTCTGGGGTGTAAATGCGATCCCATAAAGACTGCGGTGTAGGGGAACTCTCCTCAGATTTGGGAGATAGGGCTTCATCCTGCTTGCTCATAGCAGAGTGATCGATGTGCCTGAAAAATAAGTTTAGGAGGGTTTGGTTGTGGATGCAGAGATAGAGTTCGAGGGCTGAAAAGAAACATTGACGAAAAACCTTTTGTTACTATTCTCAAAGTTGAGGGACTGCGGAGCAGCTTAGAACCAAAGATAAGTCGAAGTGGCGGATAGAAGAAGTTAACTATAGTTAACTTGTATACAGGATTACAACTTATCAAAGGACTCAGCGATACGCCGTTCGATTGGAGCGCGCTTTCCTCCTTAGGAAACGCGGCTTTCGAGGCTATTTTTGCCTCTAGCAATGAGGAGAGGGGGAGGTTTGAAAGCAAATTTTCACTATGTACTAATCCTTAGGTGTAGAGTAGATTTATGTAAATATTTTGGAAAAATTATGTGAATTGAGAGTTTTGCCAAGCTCAGCTTGTCATTAGCTTGTCAAATGACAAGCTAATTTGGAAATAAGTTAAGCACGCTCTTCATTCACATAAGTTTTTCATAAATTTTCATACTTTGTTACTTAGTCCTACTGCGCATCTACACACCAAATCCCGCGCGATTTCGTCACCTATGCGTTGCAAACGAGCCATTTTTCCATTTTTTTGGTAGCGGGAAATTTTCAGAAAAAAGTTTTCCACAACCTTCAGTCACATAATTTTTCAATGAAACTCCTACGTTAACTCCTACAGGCTTGTGTCCACGTACATACCAAGTTTCGTACCATATCGTCATCTGCGCGCTGCAAACGAGCCATTTGAATTCACATCTTCATTTACCCATTTTGCAGAATTTTCGGAAAAAATGCTTATTACTCGTTCCGTTCACATAAGTTTTTCATAATTTTTCATATTTTGTTTCTACTAGCCTCTCTCCGTTGGCCTACAAAATTTGGTGTCATATCGTAACGCATACATTGAGAACTAGTCACGTGTGCCGTTACAAATAGCTCGTTTGAGCGACGTCGCGCATGCGGCAATTAGCGACGGCGCGGTTTGACGCGCGCGAACTCCAGTCTTCGCATGTTGAGATGCATAACATGTTAAAATAAGCTGAGAACGTGCACTACCGATTTTTTTCCGGGGCTTCGCCCCGGACCCCGCAAAAACGATTTCCCCTTTGTTTTTTTTTTGCCGAAAACGATTTCCAGCTTGTCATTTGACAACCTCGTGCCGGGCCCTGATAGAAGGTGCGTGATTTTTTGTAAGCTAACATGATTGAAATCAGTTTTTGACAAATGAAAGGAATTATGATTTTTTTGGGTATCTCGCAAGACTCAAGAGCTAAACAAAAAATAAATATGCACGGACAGATAGGGAGTAAAACACGAACAAATCTGACTTCCACTCCCTAAATCTGTAGATATTCTATTGTACGTTTTTGAATGAACATTCGTAAACAATTCAAGGAAATTAGTGAAAGGTGTTCATTTTCCAGATAATGTTGGAGTATTGCGTGTTTTGAAGTCTTTGTACTATACTTGGGTCCGAATCGAATAGAAATTCGATCATTCGAATAAAACATTTGAATATATTCGCATTCGAAATTCGATATTTGAAATTCTTCAATTTTCGAATAATATTCGAAACTCGAATAATTAAGGAAACGGGGTTTCGAATAAAATTCGAAATTCGAATAGTCAAAAAATAGGGTTTCGAATGAAATTCGAAAACTTGATTAATCAAAAAACGAGGATTCGAATAAAATTCGAAAACTCGAATAATCAAAAAACGGGGTCTCGAATAGATTTTATTCGAATGTTTTATTCGAATGTTCATTCGAAATCGTATTCGAATGAAATCCGTATCCAGATTATTCGAGTTTGTTGCAGAGCCAACCGCTGAGTAACAGCTCGCTTTGTCTGCGTTTTTTTGCAGAACTCGATAACGCATCTTTTCAGCCGGGATCACCTTTGAACTGTATAAGCTGCATTCTTCCAACTGTTGACAGTAAAGAAAATTAGTGTGGATTTTAATTGATGCTTTTTTCGATCAGTGAGATACTTCGCACTGCTACTGGCACCAAATCGGCAAAAAAGCTATCAAATTCAAGCTCATGTTCCGATTTCATATACTGAAAATGAGTTGACACGCTCCTCTTCCTTTGAATTGCTCATGCTTTTGGTACACAAAGGTCCACACTAGTGAGCACACTTGCTTGTAAAAGTCATATTGCACAAATGCCTCTATTCTTTACCTTAGAGATTTTTCGCGAATTGGTGTATTTTGAGTAAAGGACAGTGCATTGTGGTGGAAAATTAGACGGTTGCTGGATTTTGCTGTCATATCACCTTGCAATAAAGTTTTCTTCAGTAGATAGTACAGGATAGTTCTGTTATCACAGTGCATCTAATAAGGAAAAGATACTTACTTAGATCTGTCTTTTGGGAAGCGACACATACGTTTGGAATTAGCTTGGAACGCTGATTCCAAATATGCTGTTTCTAGCTGCTTAGCATTATTCTGAAGCAAGTTATGGTTTCTTTTCCATGCAAAGTTTGCGTGCTCCTCGACCTACTGATGCTGCGGTGCGACATCTACATGGTTTTGCAATTGTATAGTGCTTCCTTTTAAGATCAAAAAAATTAATCTGAAGCTAGTTAAACATCCTAGCGCTTTTTTCGAGCAGATTTTTATATACGCGCCGTCTTACGGCATCCAGAAGTTCGTTAGTTACTCACAAAGCAAGCTTAACTTGCTTTGGAATAACGCTAAGCAGCTAGGAATAGCATATTTGGAATCAGCGTTCAAAGCTGATTCTAAATATATCGTACCCTCCACAGGTCGTGCTACCCTTGTGGCGTCGCGGACGTGCCACGTGTGACCAACATATTGGCAACGTTGGCAGCAACACGTTGGCAACATGCAGCAACATGTTGGCGTGGCCAAAATGTTCTGCCAACATGTTGGGGCATGTTGCAAACATGTTTTTACCACGTTGCCAACATGTTAGCCAATTGGCAGGTCTGAAACGCAGACCAAGGGTAGCAGGATCTGTGGAGGGGACTATATGTGTCCTATCTCAGAAGACGAATTTAAATTAATATCCTTCCCTTGTGAGATTCACGGAGGCTTGCAGGCACTTTAACATCTGGAGCTATCATCCTATCAAATATGGTAAAGGCTTAGGGCGGACGAAGAAGGTCCACATTGAGAGCGAGCTTTGACTATGACAGGCCCCGCACATACATCACGCGATAGTCGTACGCGATTTGCCAGTTACAAGATGTCTTCAAATGTAACATTACCGCAAATGTATAGCGTGTACAAGTTTCTATTATAAATGGATAAATGCCCTGCTTTCTGTACTTTTAGAATCCGCCTACGTAAGTTTTGGACAATTTGACTATTGCCAGACCACGTCGCTACTGAAAAGCCTGCAAATCGCTCGGGGCTATAATAGGATACTCTTGCTCGCTTCGAAGAGTGAACCACAGCCTTCGTCCACGACTAACTTATACTAAACAAGGCGAAAGTCTCCGATAAACGCAATGTATTGCATTTGTGGCATATAAGTACAATGTGGCAGCCGTTATTGTTTCATAAGATCGCACACTTAGCGCTATGAGTCGAAACAGATCTTTCAACTGAAATAGTTAGATGCATGCACCAAGCTGCAAGGTTCTCATTCTTGAAATTCGGTGCTGGTGCTGATTATGGGAAAAATTCACTTTATCGAATTCATCGATTTTTAGAGAACTTTGAGCTACGGGCTGGAAGTTGGTATTGGTACAGGGGGTAAATGAGGGCGCTAATAATGAAAAAACATTTACTTTGATGCTTTCATCGATTTTTCTTGAGCTACGAGGCCGGGAGTTGGTACGGGGGGGGGGGAGGTAAATGAGGGTGCTGATCAAAAATATAATCGATTTTATCGATTTCAGCGTTTTTTTTGGAAAACCTTGAGTTATGAGTTGGTATAGGGGATATGAGGGTGCTGATTATGAATAAGTCTGCTTTAGCCGGATATGTCAGCAAGTTTGATATATGGTTGCTCTAGTTATTCGACAAATCATTCGAATGTTTATTAGAAATTCGACTTCCAATGTTCGAATATATTCGATATTCATTCATTCGATTATTTTAATTTTCCGAATTTATTCGGAATTCATTCATTCGAGAATTTTTATATCTCGAATTTATCCGATATTCGTTTATTCGAGATTTTTTATTTTCGAATTTAATCGATATTCGTTTATTCGAAATTTTTCATTTTCAAATTTATTCGATATTCATTCATTCGATGAAAAATTGCGAATTTACCCAAGTATACTTTGTACGCTTTTCTGAGAACAATGGAATTGAAAATTTTATTACGTTTACGAAGCAGTTGCAATATGGAGAAAAGTTCGAGGCCCTTCACAGATTTGTTCATTACCTGATAGGGCGTGGTAGCACACCGAACATTCTTCTCAAATAAAAACGAAAAAGAAATAGTTTATGCTTGGAGCATAATTATTATAGAATTCTATCTCAACAAGAAAGCTGTATCTCAGTCGAACAGAACAGAAGTTGGAGTAATGTGTTGCCACTTGTTGTATGCCATTGTATACGAGAATCTATCTTAAAATTGAGATCATGGAATGTTTCGCCTCATTAGACATGCAAGAATACATGATTTAGTCCAATTCACATATCACACCTAAGGCGAGATAGTAGCAATAATATGCTTCAGTTCATATATAATCTCAGAGCAAACGAGTAAATGTAGCAGGGTTTTGCTTATGCGTACTAACGTCGTAAGGCATGCCTAAGTTCTTCAATATTTTTTTATAGGGATAATTTCCAAAAAATGAGAAAAAATGAGAATGCTGCAAGGAAATTACTTTCTTCGAGGGTACTGACATATCGAAAAGTGTATGAAGGAATTAGACAGCAATAGTATCTGAACAAATAATCTGCAAAAGAAAACGGGAATTTTGCTTAGTTATGAGAGTTCGGCGTATTGCGGAAACGGAAACTGCCGAAAATTTCTAAGAGAAATGAATTGGCTGATAGAGTTTTTTCTTTTAATCTAGTTTATAA